AGCAGGCAGGTATACGTGGCTGTCGAGGAGATCCGAGTAGAGGTCGTAGATGACCTTCTCCATTGCCCTCCGGGATGCAGTAACGGTTCCGTTAGGACGACGAAGGGGAGTCATCTTGGTCTTGTAATTGGCGAAGCTCCGTCGGGCTTTGCGAATGCTCTTTCCGGCCTCGGCGGCTTCGTCCATGACTGCTGCTCTTCTCTCTTTCAGATCTTCCTTTATTGCTTCTCTGCATAGCTTCGCAAGTTCGGACGTTTGTTGTTAATTGCCTGTAGCTCGCGCGATTCCACGCTGACGTATCAGCTCGAGAGTCTTCGAAGAGAGTCGTCTCTTGGCTACTTGTAGACTCTGCTTTTGTAGCACTATCGTGAAGATGCTCGACAAGCCGGTTGTATTCTTCGTCGATGTTGTCGATAACGGAATCTTCCCATTTACTCGCAAGGGAAGCGAAGAGGTCCCAGTTGATGGAGGTCTTGGGGCTTCGTTTCCTAAACTTAATAGCTCTCTCTCCACGCAATGAGAAGCAGAATCTAGCGCGGAGGAGACGATGGTCCGATCCCGTGTAGAACTTCGGAACAACAGCGACGTCGGTCAGGCAAAATCTCCGATTTAAGATGATGTGGTCTATTTAAATAGACCACATCGAATGCAAATATTGCATAAAATGTGATGCCCCATTGTAATGAACGCAAAATTAAAATGTTCATTAAAAATGAACGATATAAGGAGCTCCTCAATCAATCGGTGGTATTAAGGAACAAAGTTCATCGATGAAGAACCTTGATCCTGAGCATTTGCTCGAACTCTTTCTGAATGTTTACCATCACGTCAAGTACGGTTAATCAAGTTTGGGCTGTTGCTATTATTACTATTTAAGAAGAAAGGAGAGAAGGATAAAAATCTTGGAGAAACATCTTCTCGACGATACAGCAGGCGGCTGAGATGGGCACATCGACTGATAGAGATGCGATGAGCCTAGTCGCTGCTCTAATCATACTCTTCCTGAGGAATAAGGTGCCTCACTATAAATGATGTAAGAAGTATTGTGACAACCCAATCCTATGGAGGAGCGATCCGTTAAGATGGGGATGGCATCTTCAATCTTGGATTCAAAAATGTAGAGTAGTGAATAGAAGATGCCAGGGGCAGAAGGACGTAGTGGCGGCTGACAAGATCGGCGAACCACGCGACGACGCGGGATTAAGATTAGTAAGATGAAGCTAGTGAGGAAATTCGTGTTCGCAGACTTTACAAAGAAGCACGATCCGAACCTTTTTGGTTGTTCTGTCGGCACCGGATGTTTGATAAGAGTCCTATTCGACTACAGCCATCTCCTTGAAGGGACTCGCCCCTCGTTTCTGTGCTGCACACCCACTTCGAAGTAGGCCTTTATTTTTCCATCTCGTATAATCTGCACGCTGTATAACCTCTTTCATTGCTTCATGACAGGCACCTTCAACGACATATTATTACCACTTTTTTACTCAAAACCAGGTGAATGGACCCAGAACCTCTCTAGCCCTACTCTCTTTTGCTAACCCATCTTCAACTGACTTTCAGTCCGTAGACTTTGTAAAGCCTAACTGGAGATTACCTTCATCGACGGTAACGACATGTGCTCATCCTGTAAAGATCGGACGAGTGCCAATGATAAGCAGTTCGTAAACCGCAGCTGAAGCGGAGTCTTCAGTCACTGCAACCCTCCGAATGGGTCAGAGCCATCGATGCAGCCGTCAAGATCATCTACGACAATATACCAAGGGTGATTGTTTCTATCACTGTGTTGCTTCAATTCGAAATCCCACGACAATTATATAATGGACGAGGGGAAGATCTATACAGGTAAGCGGGCCATTCTTTCCTGGTCGGGAACTGAACATAAGGACCGTTCAGCTATCTAAGTCTCTCAATCAAAATAGAAAAAAAAAACTTTCCCCCCC